CCTGTCTCTTATACACATCTAGATGTGTATAAGAGACAGCTTCTAGACCCTCCTTATCCTTGGATTCTTTCCTCAGATTCTGTTCTTCGCTCTCGGCACGAGCAAGAGATAGCTTCTCCCTGAACCCCTGTAGACCCTCTGTTTCCAGCGTTTCATCTTTGTCGATGTCGAGCCCCTTCCACACGTCCTCTACAACCTTGACCCATTCCGTGGGTTGTCTACCCCTCTTTTTGTTTGCAGTAGGACGGGGGGGGAAAGAATGCGAGGACGGTGTTGGGTGTGGTGAACTGCATCACGGAAGAAAGGAGAAACCCTCCCGGTCTTGGCAACGAGAACGATATTGTACCGACTGGCATCCTTCTACTTGTAATAGTCTACACATGTAACGAGCTCACACGTTCGAGATCGAGCGGCGGGTAAGATGCAATACCTCCCGCGAGTTTGTTGGCGAAGTGTGCCTCGCTCGTATTTGTCGCCCGTTTGGTGATGCGTGTTGCGACTTACCCGAGCGATAGGCAGGTGAGCGTGTCGGATGGATTGAATTAAATTGAAGATGCCAGATTGACCGACGCATGCAAACCACGAAGAACAAACCCGGATCGAGACGCTACAACAACTACCGGATCGAGATGCACAGACGATCTCGTTAACGCCGCGGCGTGTGCACGAGTATGGAAGCATGTTCCAGAAGAATTCTTGTAGGGATATTAACAGGCATGAAAGCGCTTCGTTGCCACTGCTGCTGCTGCTGCTGCTGGGATGGATGCGCGAGATCTTTGGCGGTCTAGGGTCTGTGTGTGGTTTGCTTGCGGATCCCCTCCCCCCCCACACACCCAAAATGTGCTCTTCAGTGCCCCAACCTCTCACAAGCCACTGCCCTCCCTGTTCCACGATCTCCAGAGCCGACCTCTCATGAAAAAGACGGCGGTGCGATAGTAAGAGGTTCACCTCGTAAGGCAAGGTCGTCCGCGCGCCCATTACCGCGGAATCGAAAGGAGAGTTAGGAAGTTTGGTACTTGTTCATCCTGAGGACACACAAAAAACCAGCTGCCTCCTGCTTCTGCTGCTGTGGTACGGAGACACCAAAACTATCATGTCGGGAGAAAACACGCTGCGGAGGAGCGATGAGCCTGGGGACATGGCGCCTTTGGTCACGAAAACGAAGAAGATGGCTCGTAGAGTTAGATCCTACTCGTGCGGTGAGACTCTGGCGTGGTGTACGGCGTGTGATGATCTTGTACTTGAGATGCTGCGCCCAAGTTCAACGTTTGTGGCTTGATGTTTTGAGAGAGGGAAAGAGCGGGCTCCAGCAGGTTGTTGTTGGAGTGAAAAACATCCCGCCCGTTCCTTGAAGATTTCGTCGACCCTAAACGATGCCCTCCCCGGTGTTGATGTCAAGGTCGTGATTGTGAATGCACCGTGAACTCTTCGTACCTCATGGCCTCGTCTATCCACGAACCGTCCGCGCAGTTTTGTGCACTTCCTTGGGAAGGTTTGGCAACACTCGCCGGCTCCTCAAACCTACTTGCGCTGTGAGCGCCCCTCCTTCGTGCGGGACGCCCTCTCGATATGGTGGCGATCGATCGCGAGAGAAAACAAAGAGTAGCACACGGCCTGCTTCCCTCGACCCCGTTGCTATGTCACGTCTTGTTTGGCCTCCGCCTTGCGGCCGACGCGTGGGCTTTGTTCGTTGATTGTGAACGGCCTCCTCTTCTCCCCGCCGGCCTTTCATCCTGTTCGACGGGCATTTTTCGATGACAAGGATTACGTGGATCATTGATGGTGATGTTTTTTTTTCATATTTGGTGAGAGTTGATTATGAAAGAGTCAGATTTTAGTATGGCGAGGTTTCTTCCCGCCCCTTCTTTCTGACTGCCCTGCCTGCCGTCTTGGTTTTCTTAATGTGTTGCGACGCTGCGCAAACAGTGGAAGCGCGACCGAAAGGCGCCACTGCGGCAACCCGGCTCAGCATCTTCGCGCGTTTGCCGGCGTCCTGCCCTTATGTTGGAAGCTTCCACTATGCCCCAAGGTATCCAGAAAGTTAAAGTTCTACCAACTTGGTTCAGCACACACGCATGCGCTTGGAGCTTGGCTTGGCTGTGTGTGTCCTCTCTGCTGTGTTTGATGGTGGATGTTGATTCCGAGGTTGGGGGTCTGCGGTGAAAGGAGGAACGTGGGGGGAAGGGGCCAGGCCGAAAAAAGTTGAGAGTCCAACGAGCAATCGAAGTGTTGGCGGTTGTTCTTGCTGAGGTTAATGTACAAGTTTGGTCTCACCTTGGGGCTGGCCCTCGTTCGCCGCTTGTCTGTTCACTACCCCATGCTGCTAGTACTACTCCTGCTGTCGCGTCACTTGTTCGCCTCTCCATTTTCTATCCGTTGCCACGTCCATGACAAACAACGTTGAGGAACGTCGCGTGAACAGAGTTGTTGTGTCCCACCAAGATCCCCCATCTGTGTTTGCTACGTGCGCACATTTGCAGACACGCGCTATCACAACACCACTCGCAATGTACAAGTGTACACAACTGATGTACAACACAACTGATGTACCCAGAACAGAAGTCAACGTCTGCCCGGTAATGCTGCTGTAAAACGTTCCGCGCCCAGCGTAGCGCAGCTCACCACGAGCAAGTCCTTGGCAAAGCCATTCGTGGGGGTCATATTTGCTGGTGCATGACTGTTGTGAGGCTGATGCCCGTCTCTTATGCATGCTGTCGCAGCGCTGGGAATCGCGCGTACTCCTTCTTCGAGGACAAGATAGTTCCTCACAGAGAAGCGTTGCGACTGCATAAGATCAAGACCAACCCTCTCACAGGCAACTTCCACTCGAGGTGATTCATCGTCTCATGTGGCCGTCCGTGTGGTTTTCTAGGGTGTGGGGATTAACAGCAACAGTGGTTAGTGTGTGTTCTGCATATGTAGTAGTGCCTGCAGGAGTTGACGGACATTAGAATATTGATCGCCGGTTTCGGTTGAACGACAGCAAGAGACACTGTGGTAACTCCCCGCGAGATGTCGATCTGTCAGTTGGCATAGGCCAGTACGATGCACGAAGCTTGGGCGTTTTTTGGAACGCTTACCACGCAACCCAGCAACAGCATGGCAGTGTTGTTGCAAGCGAGATGTTCCCGCGCGGTATCGGGGCTGCCTGTTGCTTTTTTCACGCAAGAAGTAGCCTCGTGGTGCCTGCGTCGCGCATTCCGCGGCGAGGTCCGTGCCGATAAGACGTTGGTTGCACGTGTCCCGAACTTCCCGACCTGCAGATCCATGTTGGTTGTTCAAGCTCGTATGCATAGTTTGCAACCATCTTGGCACAGGTTTTTCATTCCAACAACCTGCAAATCCGATATGTCCGCACTTTTTGGTTGGAGACCAAGCATTCCATCGCACAAAGTGAGAGGAGGACACGCAGTTTTCGTTGCGCTTTTGCTCTCGGCGTCTCTTCTCGGACACGTCGGTATGCACTCTCTCGGAATTGTGAGTTTTTTTTTCCTGTGTCCCTCTGCTACCTTTTCGGCGACATGGGACGAACAGGCCCGGGGTTTACAGTAGGCTGCACGGCTTGCAGAACTTTCGGGAGGGCCTTGTGTCGTTGGAGGAGGGTGCGACGATGGACGCAATCGTCGCGCGCATCAGGAGCTCTCTCACAGGTCCTTCGCTGACCTCAGCAGCAAGCGAGACTGCGGAGGCAACGGCGGCAGCGGAAGGGGTGAGGCGATGGAAGCTTATGTTTTCGGCTGCAATCCCTCGAACAAGAATTCGTAAAAATATCTGCCGCGCGAGCTTCCTTGTATGGCGATCATGACCACGGCATGGACGGTGTCGACTCATGTGTGTGCGGGAGTGGTCGTCGTCGTATCCTGCTTTTCGTTTCTACCGACACCGAGGGTAGCGTCACTCCGAAGGGCACTACACTACGTATCTGTGCACAAGCCACCAAAACCGCACACCCCTCGAAGGATCATGCCGGCGTAAGTTTTGACGAGACCTTTAACAAGATGGCATCTCTCTGCTGCTGGGTCTCGGAGGAAGCCCACCGCTATCAGAGTCCTCCTCTCATTTCACCTCGCGTTGCTTTGCCGTGGGCCGAGCCATCTGACCCTTTTGTGCCCTTGAATTCCGCCGCCGTACATACAGGCTCTGCGACAAGACGAGGTGGTTGCCGCCGCCAAAGGCGGCGTACCTCGCGGTGCTCTCACACCGTGGGCCGAAGCATCCGCCCGCCTGCCCGCGGAGTTGGACAAGGGCGGGCGGCCGCAGCTAGGCTTCCGCTCTCACACCCTCAAGGGGTTTCGCACCCCCTTGTCAGCCAGCGATGCCCAGTCGAAGGCGGCGGCGGCGCTGTTGGAAGCGGGCAAGGCGGGCGCCAACGGGACCGGCGACGTCGCGGCGAAACGGGCGGCAGGGCCTTACAGCAAGTTCTGGGAAGAGGTGGACACCGAGCGCGGCCGGTTCGGCACCTCGGTGGACGACAACGCCCTCCCGACGTCCTCGCAGCAGTCGGTGTCGGCGGGGGGCTCGTCAGCGGGCGTGGGCGAAAACATGAGGGCGGCGGCGGTCGCCGCCGGGGTGCGCGGGGTCGGCCGGGCCGGGGTACACTGGGGAAAGCACCATCATCACCACCAGCACCATGAGCCCCCGCAGCAGCGGAGCGACGAGGGCGCCGGGGTCACGAAAGAGCGTCCCGGGGAAGCAGCGCTAAGGCTCCGGCATCAGTACCTACTTTCGGCCAGACCGAACGCGGCTGCCGCCGCCCAGCGAGCCAAGACTCAGGTCGCCGTTCCCTCTCGTCCTGGCGGCGGCGGTGGCTTCGGCGGCGGCGCCGGTGCTGCCGTCGTACGTGGCAACAAGTACGGTCACGGTCGCGGCAACTCGTACGGTCGCGGCAGCGCTTACGGGCGCGGCAGCGCGTACGGCAGAGGGTTCGACGGGGTACGCGGCGGCCACGCGCACGGCCGGAGGGGGAGGATGGATGTTCCCCTAGTGGCGCACCGGAGCGTGCCGGACGCGTGGGTAGCTGCGGCGGCGGCGGCGGCGGAGCAGAGCGGCGCTGGAAACGGCGGCATGAGGAGGCCGCAGTCGAGCGCGCAAGGCTGGGAGAGCCACACCGTCAAGGCGCAGCAGAAGACGGCGGAGTACATGCAGGGGAGGGAGGACCTGGCGCCGGACATGAGGCCGGACGTGGTGCTTGACAACGAGGTGCGTGGGGCAACAATGGAGAGGTCGTTGCCGCTGTCTCGGTGTATATGAACATGTTGGTTTTATGGTTGTTCTCTGTGTGGCGGGTCTTGTGTCGATTGTACGCCGGGTCTTGGCGATGGCAGAGCTTCGCATTGTTGGCTTGGATGCGAAAGAGACAGCTCTCCCTATTCGGGGCTCGTGTATGAGTCGATCGCGTCGTTGAATTACGACCCCGGTCTGATCTCTCCCATATCTGCAACAACGCGACCGCCGCAGGTATCGCTGGCGTATGAAGTGGACATGAGCGATGCTGGTATGCTCGGGGCGGGCGCCTACGGCACGGTGCTGGCAGCGGTGCACCGCTCGACGGGGAGACAAGTAGCCATCAAGACGATGCTCAAGAAGTACCTCTTGTCCGACGCGGAGAAGGCCAGCGTGGAACGCGAGATAGAAATCCAGAAGGTACTACTTACGTCAACACTGTTTCGATGTTTTACGTCACCATATCATTTACAAGTTAAGGAACGTCAAGTGTAAGCATGTGAATGCCCATGCACGGAGTGTACTCGTTGGTGAGAAACGAGTAGTAGTATCGAAATTCGGCGCGTGTTTGGCCCGGCCAATGTGGTTGGTTTTACGAGGACCTGGCAGGCGGTTCACGGTGCCACGTGTGCTTCTCTTTTATCGTTTTTGTCTTGTATTGGCGGATCTTCTCTTTTATCGTAATCGTCTTGTATTGGCGGATGAGGAGACGCAAAAAAATCGGAGATGACTTCCGTGTGTTTCCAGGAACACCTCGACGCACGCTCCGATTCAATATTTCCCTCGGCTCTCACCCCATCTCTCCGGCGTTCAACGGCGTCTTCCGACGACGCCCGTCTTCATTTTCTCTCTTGAACGTGCAGCGCCTGGTGAACAACCACGTGGTCCGACTGTACGAGATCTACCAGACCCCGGAGCAGATCTACCTGGTGGTGGAGCGGGCACCGTGCGGTAGCCTGGAGGAGTTCTTGAACGCGCGTTGGCGTATGACCGAGCTCGACGCCAAGCGCGTCGTGAGGCAGCTTCTGGACGGCCTGGCGTACCTGCACAAGAGCGGCGTCGTGCACTGCGACCTCAAGCCAGCCAACATCCTGTTCTCGGACATAGACCAGGGCAACACGGCGCGCGACAGCGCCCTGCCGGTGACGCCGAGGGCGCAGGTGGCGCCGCCGGCGTCGCTGAGCGGGCTTGTGGTGAAGATCTGCGACTTCGGGCACGCGAGAAAGGTCCCGGACTGCAGGTACTACAAGTTCACCGGCGACATCAACAAGATCCCGTTCCACATGTTCAAGCACACCGGGACGGAAGGGTATGTGGCCCCCGAGGTGCTGCTGTCCAAGCCGTACGGTAAGGCGGCCGACATGTGGTCCACGGGGTGCATGCTCGCCCAGATGCTGACAGGTAAGATGCCCTGGATCCCCTCTCGGGCGTGCCTCCAGCGGCCGCTCTCCACGTCCGGAGTGTGCTGGTCGCACATCAGTGAGCCCGCAAAGTCCCTGGTGGAAGACCTCCTTACGGCAGACCAGGACTTCCGCGCGGACGTGGAGCAGGCGACCCACCACTCGTGGTTCGAGGGCATCCACCACTGCGCGAGGATGCCGACGTCCGCCCCCGGCGGCAAGGCCTCGCCGATGTTCGCCCCTGTGCGGGGCCGGATCGCTTCGGTGCCGGCGGTGGTCTTGTCGCCAAGGTCGCTCACGCCCACCCACGACGAAGGCGTGCTAAGCGGAGACGCGGCGGCGGGGGGCGGCATGGGCTCGGGGGTGGGGATGTCGCCGGAGGTGTCCGCGAAGGAAGAGGTGCGCGTGGCTGTAAGAAGCTTTCGTCTAGAGTATGTATTGTTGCGCCAACGGACATCGATGCAGCCTTTTGTTGTTGTTTCGTCGGCGCTTGTAGGTAGCGTTACTGTGGAGAAAGTTGAATTGAGGCTGCACCACGTGTTTTTTCGGTCATGCAGGAGAGAGACGCGCATGCAATTGTTTTACGCACTTCCCCCACGATAGCTAGCAGCAGCAGTCGTCGTCGTGTCCTCTAAAGCGTCGTCGTAAGCAGCAGATGACAACCAAATTTGCAAATGCGCACAAGCTATCTGCGACGCGTGCACTAAATCCCGCAATCTGCACCGGTTGTTGATTGTCCCCCGATGTGCAGGACACGGAGCAGCGGTTAGCGAAAGAGACAGAGAAGTCCCCCGTGGGCACTAATGACGCGGCCGCACAAACGGATTTGTTGTCAAGCTTGGACAAGGCACCCGAGAAGTCGGTGGCGGCCTCGCAGAGCCCTGCGGCGGAGTTTTGAAAAGTTCAACCACGAACAAATCTATCTCGAGGCATGCCAGCAGGAGCGGGAAGGGGGGAGGTATGCATGATTGCACGCCCCCCCGTCGGTTTTTGCGCAACACCTCTACTGCTGTAGGGTTGATGAAATGTACTTTTTTACGAAACGCACTTTTTTTATTGCCGTTTCTAGTTTTGAAGACCTCATGGCACGAGTTTTTGGAAAGGACAAGATTTTAGTTGGGCTCTCGTACAGCAGCTCGTGCCTTGCCTCAGGGGCTATTTTTTTTTTTTTGCGGTAGGCCTTTAGGCTTCCATTTTGGGAAAGAAGACAATGGTGTACAGCGACTTTTATGTAATCTACTTCCGTACGTGACGTGGCAGAAGAGACCAAAGGTCGTGGTAGCTTTAGTCCGCTGCAGAGGTCAGGCAAGATTTCTTACCCACCATCCACATGTAGACGTTTTTGTGGATGCGGTTACCTTAATTCTCTCAGGCGGGGGGCAAACTGATTTTTCGCGTCGCACAGCGACGCTCGTACAAACGAGAATGAATGCACGTGGTACGATGGATTTAGAAGCCGCGGATGGTGTATTTTTGTAGACGAACGCGATCAATAGGAGTTGGACCAGCTGCTGCAACAAACGCCTTTTTACATGTGGCAGCTGCCACTGCTTTCTTTGTCGGTTCAATATGGACACATATGCGTTGAATTCTCAAGTTTCTTGTGCGTCGGTACTTCGGCCGTGTCTTTTGTGGGCTACGGTCTCGGAATTCTCTGGCGCAAACCTAAAAAAAAAGTGTGTGTGACTAGCAGCGCGGCGTTGGGTGCATTTGGCATCACAGGCCGACTATTCGTGGACTGCTTGGAAGTGCGCTGCAAGAACAGCGAGCAGATCTGTAGGGCAGCAGGGTACGTGACGCAAAAAGTCATTCGCGGTTTCTGTCAGGCACTGGTTGTGAAAAGCGAGGCTACTGATCAAACTACACGCATGTATTGGAGGCTAGTTAAGACGAGGCAGAGTATAGCCGACCGGGCTTGTATCGGCGCCTACGAGAGCAGGACGTGCGGTATAGAAGGGCGGGGGGCGGGGTGTACTCATGCCGTGTGGTGGCCGGAACCAGAAATGCAGGACGGAGGAAGCTCGCAGTGCAATATGCGTCATGAGGTGTTTGAGGGGGGGAGGGGGGGGGTTGGGTGAGGTCGGGGGGGCGGGGGGGGAAACAAAAAAGGGCAGTCGAAACTTACCGTCGCGGTCCTGTTGGTGATGACTCCATGTACGCACTGCTAGAAAGAGGGCTGGTCTTCCGCAGGCCTCGACGTTAGGTAGTAGCGCCGTGGTGTCACTTGTAGTTGTCGCTTGCTTGCATCCCTGTTGGTTGTGGGTCGGGATGCTGGGCAATCCGCCATCGATCTCCCAACCATCCATGTAGTTGATACAATTTCGTTTCACTCGACGGTGGAATTTTTTCGCCACACCACTTTCGTCGGGTTTGTTGTCACTTCTTTTCTTTGTGATATCCCCTCTTTTATTTTTTTTCTTGTTGTTCGATTTTGCTGCTGTTGGATGCCTGACAGAGATCAACAAAAAGTCTTGTTTGGTGATAATGTTATGACTGCCTGGACGGACCATTACGGAGGCTATCCATCTATACAGCCCGGGTTGGTCCTTCTTGCTCTCTTGGAGTTTTTTGTTGCACTAGAGAAGGCTTCTACGTGGTGGATGAGAGTGAGGGGACAAGTTATTTTCCTGGACCGGTTAGTTTTCAGGCGTGGATGATGATTCGCGTCGGGTCGGCTCGCTGACCGAGTACGACGCTGTCCGCATGAGATTTTCTGAAGAATGCGTTCCGTGGCTGATCGATTGCATTCGTCGTACGCGTTGTCGTGCATGGAGTAGTGCGTGGCAAAGTAGCGGCTCTTTTGTAAATGGAAGGAAGGGATCTGGATATCGAGAATGGACGTTGAAAGCCGTCGGTCGGTTGTTGAGCGTTTGCGTTTGTGTGCTCGAGCCGCCAGTGTCGGTCATGTATTTTTGGGTTGAGGTCGAATTACAAGCGTGTAAGGACTTGTCGCACGGGTATCAAAAGAGGAGCGGAGATGCGAGAGAGGAGAGGAGTTTGGGTTCCTGTTGTCAGGGCGGCCACGATTGGCTACGTGCGCGCAAAGTGTAAATAATACGAGTAGTGTTTCGCCAGAGAGGACGTGGGGTATGCGTTAACGTGACAAATGTCACGTTCTCTTCGCAACGTTATTTTCGGTGCTGGCTGGATGGTGTATATGAATGAAGGGTGGTTTTCGACAACCCCAGGCGGTATTTTAGGAAGAAAATGTGTTGGGCTCGCAGAAACTGCGCGTGTGTTAAGATCATACCGGTACAACTTTTTGTTTTTTTTTCCCTACCCGATTTTCCTACGGTTGGTTCCATAGGCAGCGAACAACGTGCTTGTTGTATGTGTTTGTTGCTCTTGCGCTTGTGCGGTATCTCCACGAACACGTGGACAAAGGTCTGCACATGCAGCCGCCCTGCGCCATCCACACACCGCATTGTGGTCGAGGGTGTTTTTGCCAGACCAAAGTCAGCTGCCCACTACATGTTGGAACGTCTGATCGGTCTTGGGGAATCAAGCAAAACTATTCAAACGGGTAGCCTTAAAGAAGCAGGCAATCAACGCGCCCCCCTAACTTTAACGGAACAGCGTTTTCTGTCGAGACAACGATTACTTTCAACCCGGTAAGCACACACAGAATGCCCACCAACCCTTGCTGTCCAAAAAAGAAAAATCCCGACATCCAACTGTCGTCGAGGAAATCTCGACCTACGCCCTCCCTTCGACCACCTTCGACCTGTGGGTACCCGACCACAAACACTTGGAACCGCTGTCGGTTACATCGACACGTAAATCCCGCTGGCAGCCCGTGCCCGGGCTTCTCTCGCTTGTTCTTCTGCCAGCAAGGCCGCTACGGCCTCGGTGTCCACCTTAGCCTTCATGACCGACACTGTTCGTCGCTTCGTGAAGGGGCTGCGGCTGAAGACGACAAACCCCGGGTGCATCGCGAAGAGCGTGTGGTCCTTGCCCATGCCCACCCCCTTTCCGGGGTAGAACTGAGTGCCGCGCTGTCGGATGATGATATTTCCCGCCACCACGTTTTCCCTGCTTGTGTTGCGGTGTAACGAAAAAAACGTACGCGTAGTTAGCCCGGCACTATGTCTTGCTGTTCGATTTCTACCCTGTTTGACAATTCTCGTGACGTTGAGTCGTCGATTGTCAGATGTGGGGTAATGGAGCGTGTACGTCGCGTGTCGACACTGGGCGAGCATTCGAGGCGATACACACGTTTGAGCGGGATGCACAACATGGGTCAACCTATGCATCCAAGTAAAAATTTGACGGTGCTGCCGTGCCGGAGAGAACAGCAACAGCAACACGACGAAGCATCACACCTGACAGTAAAAGCTAGGCAAACAACACGGATGTGCTTCCAACAGCCGCCTTGTCTCCGCAAAATCCGTACGCTCACAAACTTCGCGCGAACAAACCAAGAGCTGACAGGCGCCATATTCGCTCGTTAAGAATCTTGGCTCGCCACAACATGTACGTCGCCCAAAGACTGGCTGCATCCCATCCGTTCTTCGCAGCCAACTCAGTTGGACCAATACGGACATTAGAATGTACTGAGCAGAGACGGCAACGGTTGTTAATGTGAAGACAACAACAACCACAACAACTCACCCCCCAAACTTCTTCACCCCCAGACGCCTGCCTCGCGAATTGCGGCCGTTCGTGGAGCTCCCGCCGGCCGCCTTCGAAGCGCATCGTGTCGCCACGCAAGTTGTTCCTGCTCCCCGGCAAGATCAACATATATAGAACGAGAGACAGCCAGAGTCACCGACACAGGAGTAGACACGCAGTCAGACAGACAGGCAGAGAGACAAGCAGAAAAGGGTCACACACATAGAGTAGCGACACTGGTGGAGAGACCGGAAGAAAGGACACCGAGAGAGAGGGACGTACGTAGTTTAGACTACATGTAGCCAGAGTGCAGCATATTGTACTGACAATGGTTTCCTAAGTCCAAGTCCAGGGACAGCAATGTTACATTGTACTGATAATGTTTTAATGAATCAAGGCGCGTGTGCAGTGTAGCTCGAAAGACGAGGCACAGAAGAGAGAGGAACACACGGCACATAGACCAACGTAGGCGATTGAGGACGACAGGGGGGGCTCGCAACAATAAAACGTAGTGTTTGGTCCTTCACGAGCAGAGCGATTGCCCTCACCTGCAAACAGCGCTCCAGCCATACGGCCGGTCACGACGGACCTACATTCCCGCGCAAGCGCGGAAGTCAAGACACCGAACATCCCGCAATCGATGCTAGTTGAGTGCACTGGCGCACACCAGCCAGTTCGGTCTTGAGAGCAATGCAAAGGCGGTATGAGGTGAAGTTATCCACGTCGCCCCCTTATGAGGTTGCCCGCCGGCGCCCGGGAATCCAATCTGCCTAATAGGGCAGATGATAATTCTCCTGCCCTCAAAACGCCTCCGGAACCACTCTTTACAGAACCATATTTTTTCAATCCAACACAGATCACAGCAGCACACGAACCACAGCAGCACGCCAGCACGCCAGCACCCACAGCACACGCCCACAGCACCCCCACAGCACGTGCCAAAGCGCACACCCGGACGTCCCCGTATTGTTAAAGGGATGGTGTTCAAGAGCGATGGCGTCGTGGCGTTGGAAGCACGTGCCGTGCGTTCTGTGGGCGTGCTGTGTGTGTCCTCGCGCGTGCAGCAGTTGATATTTTGGCACTCTCGTCGCGAAAAGAAAAGGAAGGCGTCCGTGGTTGTGTCGCCATGCTGCAACACGCTGTGTCTTTTTGTGCGAAAGATTTGACCGGTTGTAATCATAGAGTGTTCTTATTGATTCGGTTGGGTAGGATCGTCGGCAGTTGGTGCGTTTCCTCTCCGCAGCAAAGTATAGTCTAGACGTCTACATGTTTTCTTACAGAGCACTCTCCCTTCTTCCCCTCGCTCCTCGACAAGCTTTTGCTTAGACATGGGTTGTAGCGAAGGGGGGGGTCTTTCTGGCGAGCAGGGCTAGACTCACTCTCAAGGGATGACCGAAACCTTCTTGCTGCTGCGCATCCGCCGCGAGGCGTGCGTGTGGTGGTGGAGTTGGGTCGGCACTGATGGGGTCAGGCGGGAAAATGTAGATGCGCGGGCCTTTCTGGCCGTCGGCGTTGGCAGTGATGCCCATCTCATTTTTGTGCGCGGAGGCAGACATCATCAGAAAGGTGGACGGGCACTACACGCCCCTAGGTTTGCTAGAGGGAGCTGTATTGCCTCAGTAACCTGGCTTCGCCATCAAAGGAGGAGGGAGCAGGTGGCGACGAGCTGAACTAGGCTGGTTGACCATTCGGCGCGAGAATTTTTATTTTTTTCAGACCAAGAACCTTGAGTGCAATGAGGGAGAAAGCGAGGAACGGACTGGGAAGGACAGCAACGAGAGCGTGTACGGACGGAGCAGGTCGAGTGGCGTTTTGCTCGGGCTGACTACAGCGGCGCCGGACGGAGCAGCGGCACCGGAGCATGCGGGCGACATAGACCCGTGGCGCACGGACAAACATTTATATCTGATCTGTGTTGTCAATTTTTTCTCGTTTTTTTCCTGACTTTCCGTGTCGGTTTTGTGTGATGCCATCGTCACCGGTTTTGTAGAGAGA